CGTCAACGCTTCTTGTTCAAGGTGGTGCTTCCCTTGTACGGTAGCGGAGAGCAATATTGAAGAAAGTATCTTCTCGAAGAACAAAATTGCTACAATGATAGCCCATTCCGTTTCCGAAAAAGGAAATGTTAGCGTTCCGAACGAAACCGAATGCACATTGAGGAGTTCATCATCGGTGAACTCACAGAACTTCAAACTTTTGGTACTAATTTTTCAGGAACATTTAAAAATTGTAATTTCTATTTGGGAGGAAATAATCATTCCTTGTTTCATGTACAGTTATAAAAAAACTTTTCTGAGTAATTCGTTTATTGAAAAGAGAACAATTAGCGGTCGTTATGATTCATAATGTCCTCCATAACGCCCTAGAGCGTTATGGGTCTGTTGATAGCAACCGTTGCCAAGGTATTATAAACAAGTGGAAAAGAAAGACATTTTGAAGTCATATTTTGGTCAAAGACTTTTAGTAAGGTGCAAACGAATCGTAAGTCGCTTAGATCAAAAGTTGGTGGAAAATCGGAGGTGAAAAGCTGTGACATGGCTAGAATTATCAACTACCATCTCCAGATCATGGATCCACTTGTTGTCCTGTACGTTTGGGGGGTAGGGGGTAATTTATGAAAAAAAAATGTGGATTTTTTTCATTCGTCGAAAATATTAATGGGTTTCAGTACTTCCACCCTGTTGAATCTTGATTTCGTGTGACAAGTAGAACAAATTATATAAAATTTTGAAATTCACTAATTTCATTAGGATATATGAGAAAATCATATATCAATTAAACGGCTATTACTCGAAACTTGTAAATTCTCGTTAAATTGTTTTTCATATACCTCGCATCATCTCAGTAACTAAAATGTTTATCAAAAAAATACTTCAAACAATATCGATGCGCCTATGTTTCAAGATGCGAATGGTTCTTTGATTTTGGAAATCGAAGCATAAATAAGGTAGATATTGGGAAAATCATAATCCAATGCATGTACCTCGGAAGAACGCGTTTCGCCGCATTCGTTCGTTACCATCGAGGCAATAAGGCCTGCCGTGGTGACGTCACCTTAGTGAGGCCTAACCAGCGGCTCGAAACGATAAGCCCTTATGGCGGTATAAGGCGACCGCGTATTTCAATTTCAGTTTTAGATCATTATTGAGCCAATTTTGATGTTTTTTGAAGGACTTCCGGTAAAGAAAGGATGCCAGTCGTCAACTGAGTCCTTCTTCGCATCCCATTCGATTTTATTATGGAAAAACGAAATTTCAAAGCAAAAACCAGAATAAAACACAAACACCCACCTACAGCAACCCATTCGAATTAAATATATTGGCAAAAATTGTGGTGGAGGTAAACTTCACACCTACTTATACAAGGCCCGCAGAACATAAACTTATCGTGAGATTGATCGAAAGAAAATTGTGGAAAATGTATTTTATTTCGATTGACATGCCGTTTGTTATAATTACCTATATTCATCTTGGAGAATTCCTATTACCTGAAAAGTAAGCCAGTTAGTGTTTTCAATTTCCTGTTGTTGGATTTTTTACCCAATTGATCGTTAAACTTGAAACAGTAATTTTCAATGGTAAAAATGCATTTATCATGCGATAGTTTTTTTTTCGGAATTTTTTTTGGTACTTACGTATCTTTGTCTGAAAAACACGATTTTGAAATGAAAGTTATGCCAAAATACCAAAACATGGCCTCCAAAGCTCCAAAGACAAATTTTTGTTTTCAAATTTCTTTCGTTTATAATATCCCAATTTGTAATTTTTTTTATATTCACCCTGAACACTTCCATAAGTTGATTATAACAAAATCAGTTGATTCTACCTTTTCTCAAATCCAAACATATTTTTGCAATTAACTTGGATTTGAATTTTTTATGGAATCACAAACTTTATGTTTGTTGCAACGATATCCAGTTTAACTTCAAAATTTTGCAAACCATGTTTTAAACAAGGTAGAACGTCATTAATGATAATTCGCAAATTCAGAAACTGTCATTTAATGTAAATATTTTGTATTTGAAATGTTTATAAAAAAGCTGTACGAAACAATAGATAACCATGATATCATTTGAAATAATCACTAATACCCGAGAAACAAAACAAATGAGCGTTGCAGTAAACATTAAGACAGTTTGGTGACATTAACTTCTCATCTAATGATGTTAGATATAATCCAAGTCGATTTCACAAATATTCTTGAATTTGAACAAAGGTATTCCCAACTGATGTTGTTATGGTTAACTCATGAAAGTGTTTTGGGTGAATATAAAAAAAATACAAATTGGCAAATTATTAACGGAAAGAAGAGGAATTGAAATCTAGAAAGTGTTTCAAAAGGTCATGCTTTGGTATTTAGGCATAACTTTCAATTGTTAAAATTTTTTCTCAATAACATTCGACTGAATTTCCCGAAATAAGGGTACTTTACTCTTGACCAATATTGAAATTTTTTGACCTACCCTGTATCTGTTTGACTTGACACCATTCTAAGTGCACCTAGAATGATAACCGAACATGCACCAACTTTCGGCACTATCTGTATTTTGGTTGTGCAATTCATTAAAAAGATTCCCATATGTTGCACACGTGAATGAACACACTGTATATTTGCTAATTAGAAATTCAAAAAACTCACACCGAAACACGTTGGTTTGGGCATAATGATTCATGAAAAGACACGATCGAAAAAAATTATCGAAGCTTTGTATTCTTGTGGACACTGTGTATCGCTAGAGATTCCACAAGGTTATCCTATTTTTATTTCTATATAATGTATCATGTTCTGTTTCAATATTTCCCAATTTGTTAATGAATGAGATTGGTGACATTTTACTCTGATGAAAAAAAATTTACTCTCCCCAGCAAACATTTTGGTATGGGGCATCAATGGCCTAATATATTTTTCCCATACCTGACATCAGCGGCCCAGTGAATGGTCCCATATGCGGGACTCTATATATCAGTACACTGCGGCCGGCAGCTGGTCCCAGTGCTGGGTTCCCAGCAAACATATTCAGTTCCCCGGCAAAAGGCCAGTACAACATAATCGACACATTGAGTTTCCCATAGCAAGCCCAGCATATACATAAATAATGGGACTGTAATGGCCAATTAACGACATTGGTTACATACTATCGAGGTAGGGGAGGGGTGGGGGTTTTAGTGGCCCATTGGATCTGAAAGTTCTGGTACTTTTTTATTTCACAATATAACCCTCTGATCATACCAAATTTCAAGGAAACAATTTTATGAATGACACAATGATATCTTCCTAACCTCTCTGTTCTTCAACGATGTGACTGCTTAGTGGTTGGTATGTGGTATCTACATCTTATTGGGTAGCATTCCTTCAAAGTCGATTCTTCGTTATGAGGTTCTTCTGAAATATGAAATGCATCATTTGTCTATTTAGTGGCCTATGAGTTGCATGAGTTTGTAACTTGATAATATAGTCTGATGACGTGATAATATGGAGCTTTCCAATTCTCATAATTTTCTTGGCACAGGTATTTCTGTAGCTGAAACTTTATTGTTATTTAGTATAGAGATATATAGGTTCACATAACCTGGAATTACTTTTGATAGCAACAAACGAGTTAAAAATGATAGTTGCTTTTGGAGAAGTATAGCCGACTCCAATTATTATGATCATTCGGTGTATGAAGTTACGAGATACTAAACACATGCATTTAATGATGAAATTCTAAACACTATGTAGGTAGATTGATACTTACACAATATTATTATAATTGAAGAATCTGTCTTCTATCATTATCAATTGAGAATACTACTGCCATCATAAATAACCACCAGGGTAAGAGAGGACCACATTAATTCGACATAAACAAACTAGTACGCGATCACCACTCACGAGAGTCAGCCATCTTAGTCACATTTAATATTGATCAGCTGATTGTTGATGTAGACGTTCCCAGAACTACCACCAGGGGGACGAGTAGCGAACATGAAATTGGCCAGCAAAGGGCCAGATCTCGAAATTATTCAATTAGTTCCAGACATCTTACCATCACAAGGCCATCATCGTATTTTGAACTGATGGTTACTTGGCATAGGAAAATCATCGGCCCATTACCAATACCCCGGCATCGTCACTTTCCCAGACTAGCCTGCACTAGGCCGGACTTCTCCCGCTAGTTCAATGTTTGCTGGGTCGAGATAGAATCATTCAGAAAATAAATTGAGGTCACTTCCAATCAAACAGCAAGTTTTAAGAAATGTCTGTTAACTTGGAAAATAGCAATCGATTTGATTTCTTCCGTGAATTACATAATCGCACTATTCTGTAACACTCAGTAATTCATATTTACGGTGTTCGTACTCGGACGGCCGCGGGCGCTGTGGGGAGAATCGGGGTATGAAAGCTGCGAATCGCGGTCCATCGTAGTATAGTTTATGCAAAGTCAGTTCTCCCAATATATTCCTTATTTATGCTTCGACTTTCAAATTCAGAGAACCATTCGCATCTTGAAACATAGGCGCATCGACATTATTTGAAGTATTCTTTTGATAAACGTTGTAGTAACTGAGATAATGCAAGGTATATGAAAAAAAAAATTAACGAAAATTCACAAGTTTCGAGTTATAGCCGTTTGAAATATGATTTTCTCATATATCGTAATGCAGTAAGTGAATTTCAAAATTTCATAAGATTTTTTCTACTTGCTACACGAAATCAAGATTCAACAGCAGGATGGGAGTACTGAAACCCATCAATATTTTCGACGAATAAAAAAAATCCATATTTTTTAATGAACGACTCCCTACCCTCCAAACGCACAGGACGATTTTTTGACGACAAGCAGATCCATGATCTGGAGAGAGTAGGTTACAATTCTCGCCATGTCACAGGTTTTTACCTCCGATTTCCCACGGGGTGAACGATTGGATTCGATTGGCACTCTACTATTTGTGGACGTCTCAGGTCACTCTGGTACCCAGGTCATGCCTCGTGGTCGCCGCCTATGCGCACCTACCTGGTAATTCAGGTAGTTTCCGTAGCCCATATGGTCGCAGGGGCACTGGCAGCTCCGTATGTGCATCCTGAGCTCGGGATCGAGCGCAGCCAGCCACGTCTCGGGGGCCGAGGCCGCCACTCCGTCGGTCGCCATCGTGACAGCCGCCGCCGCAGCCGCCGGTCCGCTGCCGCATCTCGTCGTGCCGCCGCCCGCTGCCGCCTGCACCTTGCAACTGGCGGCGGAAAACGGAAAAGAGACGCTGGCGTCTGGAGACAGGACACAACAAATGAATCCGCGCGGTGGGAGGAATGTTACAGCGTGGGGAAGCGTGCAGCGCGGGCTAATGTTGCAGCCAATGTAGTTATTCACCTAAGAAGTGCGGAAAAAATAAAGTTTTTCCACCACTAGCTGTAAAACCTACCATTATATATTGGTATTATTTACTCCTTTTTTTTTTAAATGTGTGTGGACGGTCCGGGACCTGACGCACTTAGGCATTCCTTTTCGGGCCCATTGTGCACCTACATTCCTGGTATCGCAAGTCAGCCATGGAGAAGGCCGATCTCGCGAGTAAAAGAGACCAACTTTCTAGGCCAAATCTTTTTCAAATTCCTCTGGGTCCAGGATATATACTGCCCCCAAAATGGATATCCCTTGCTGCCACTACTGCCGGGCATTCAGTGAGGATGTGAGTAGGAGTTTCTTCATCCTTTAAGGCACCATCTACATTCAGGATCCTCCTCGTGCTGACCCAGATAGCACAAATTCCTTTTGAGGCCCTTCTGAGGCGTTCACAATCATGTCCTCAGGACGTCGAGAGCGAGCCTGAGGACATTCTCAAGACGTCCTCCTGTTACCATTCTCTACATACTAATAACGTCTCAGAACATCCCTATAAAATCTTTTGAGACAACCTCAGGACATCATGGTAACAACTTGAGGCGGTTTTTGATGATGTTTCAAGGAGGTTCAATATTTATGGGAGAATATTATTCCTATACAGAATGAGTCACTATAGTGTGTTCTCCTCTGATATTAGCCAAAAACCTTCAGATATATAAAATGAAAATTCAAGTACAACAGTAATAGGGTTTCATAAGAACAATCACCTAAAGTTGTTTTCATATCTATAGGGTGTTCGAATTCCAAGATATCGGTTGATGATTGTTTTTTTCTTTCAATGGAACACCTTGTATAATATTGCATTTTTGAGTTTTTCCTAAAGAGTTGATTCCATCAATGCATCACACTTGGTGTCTAGTGGGAATTATTACAGAGATATAGAGTGTTGACAATTGATAGATTCTTCAAATGTAGGATTTTTTGTGTCGAAGCTTTTCATTAATGGTCAAAACGGCTCACATGTTCCTGTCATAACTTTTGATTAGCTATCTACTGATATTTATTTGGAACAGATACAATAAGCTGATCAGTATTCTGAATGTTAACCCACCCTCTATTTGTTCCGATTGAATGTCAGTAGATAGTAAATCGAAAGTTTATAAGGATATGTGAGCCGTTATTTTGACCAATATTGAATAGTTTCCACAGAAAAAATCCTACAATTGAAAAATTTTGTTTTTGAACACCCTATATCTCTGTAATCATTCCCGCTAGACCCCAAGTGTGATACATTGATAGAATCAGCTCTTCAGGGAGAACCTAAAAATACAATAGTATACAGGGTGTCCCATTTGGAAAAAAACAATCATCAGTCAATATATCTTGGAATTCGAACACCCTACAGATATATATGAAAACAATTTAATGTGAAAGTTCTCATGAAACCTTATTACTGTTGTACTTGAATTTTCTCTATTTATCTGATGGTTTGGCTAATATGCAATAAGGATAACACACTAATATTGACTCACCTTGTATTATGCAAATGATAATTTCTTCAAAATAATATGGATCTCATGATATTTGCAAAATTTCCCTCTATTTATAAAAGGTTCAAATGAAAAACCAAATGAAAAACTTACATTCTATTATTTATAACTTATTCTGAAAAATTTCAATTTCCTTTTCAAAGAAATGTATTTCAGCTTCTTGTTGAGCACTACTACTTAGAAGTTATTGCCTATTGATAGTTATATTTCTCCATGTTGTTTTTGATTTCTGAACTCTGGACATTCCTGATGCAGAATAATCAACTGGAAGTTGAAGCCTTCATGCAAAATTTTATAGATTTTGAAGAAGCAAAACTATCTTGGAATGAAAATATCATCAGGTTTGTGTTTTGCATAACCCTCTGAAACAAACAATGTATTAATATTTCATGTCCAGTACTTACTATCAATGATATGATTTATGTAGTTATAGGTACCAACCATTATTGAATCTACTGAAAGTTCAAGTCTGCATATGTACATACAATCTTTCATAATTTCCAAAGAAGCCAAAATATCTTGGAATAAAATATCTCTGCTCTGATGATATCATCATTTTGTGTTATCAATAACCTCCTGAAACAAATAATGTACCTATTAATATTTCATGTTCCAGTCCCTACTATATCAATGATTTGATTTAGGTATACCTACCTTTATTGAATATACTGAAAGTGCAAACATGCATACGCAATCTCACATAGATTTCGAAGAAGCCAAAATATCTTGGAATGAAACATCTCTGCTCTGATGACATCATCAATCTTGTGTTCTCAATAACTTCATCTGAAATAAATAATTAACCTATTAACATTTCATGTCCAGTACCTACTATATCAATGATTTGATTCAGGTACATACCTTTATTGAATTCATACTGAAAGTTCAAGCTTCAATACAATATTTTAAAGATTCGGAAGAAGCAAAGCTATCTTGGAATAAAACATGTTTGCTATGATGATATCATCAAGTTTGTGTTCTCAATAACCTCCTGAAACAATAAATAATGTATATGAATGTATCAATATTTCATGTGTCCGGTACTATCAATGATTCTATATAGTATTTACTCACCATTGTTTCTTGCTACCTGAGAGAAATGTCATCAACAGAGATAATCATCCTTTTGTTATTGTTATCTTTTGATTCTGTGCAATAAGTTCTTCTCGCAATCATTTTGTGAAATAGAAATTTGATGAAGGTATTCAATGAATACTCTAATAATTTTGATATAATCATTAATATATTATGATGTATCTTGAACAAATCATGACTATCATGAGACATAACCTCAATTCTAGTTCTTCTTTTTCTTTCTTTTGTCTTCGATGACACGTTATTTCATGGAATGTCATCTGAAGACGTCCGTAGGCACGAAATTCTTTACATCCTCAGGCTGTCACTGAAAGAACTCATTTAGGACAATAACAGCGCTAAATTTACGCCTGATGATGTTCTTAGGTTGTAGAAAATAGAACGTCCTCTCCAGGCGTTTGGCGACACATTGAGGATGACCTTAGGCGAATGTGTGCTATCTGGTGAGATGCTTGTTCAAGTGGCAGTGCCCTGTCAGAAGGCCCACCACCAGTTTCAGCTCCTTCATGTTCAAAGCCAAGAGGGCATTGGTCTGTCTTCGTGACGGGTTTCCTATATGGAGTTTGGACTGCCTCATTCCAGGAGCCTCTCTCCAGCTGTCCTGAAACCTTTCCGTCAGGATTTCCTTCATCCTGAAGTTGCTCCAGGATCGAGTAACCCCTAAGATTGGCTCTGGACCAATCACTGAACCCTTCGCTCCCGTTCTGGCCAGACCATCGCCCATTTCGTTTCCTGGTACCCCTGAGTGCCCAGGAACCCACAGAAGACATACTTTGTTCGTTGCTGACAGCCTTTGCAGGCTATATATGCACTCTGACACCAAGGCGGAGGTCACCCTATATGAGGTGAGCGCCTTGATCGCCGCCTGGCTGTCAGTGCATATAGTGATTTGCTGGCTGTGATAGCCCCTCTCGATATTCTCTGGAACACATGCAAGTATTGCAAATACTTCAGCCTGAAAAATCGTGGCATGTTCCCAAGGTGATAGTAATGATTTGCCCTTGGGGACTGCCCATAGACCCCAGCACCTGCGCATTCTTCCATCCTGGAGTCATCTGTATACCAGATGATGCCCTTGGTGAGTATTATGCAGTGCCCATTCTGTTCCCAATCTATCCTAGTAGGAATTCTGACTTAGGGCATTTTCCTGAATCAAATTTGCTTCCAGAGGCAAAAATGTCCATATGTTCCTTCGCTCCTCCACTGGTTACAGCTTTGTAAGCGAACGGCGGCCTTCATCGCCTCGTATTCTATATACAGGTTCAGAGGTGGCAGTCCGGTCAGAGTCTCCAGCGCCCTTGTCAGCGCCGTCCTCATTGCTCCTGTTATGGATATGCTGGCCAGTCGTTGAACTCTGTCGAGCTGAATCCTCGACTTGCCTGTCAGCGTCCCCGGCCACCATACGATGGCCTCATATGTCATCATTGGACGTATGAGAGCGGTATACATCCAGTGAAGGATACTTGGCTTGAGCGCCCACGTTCCTCCAAACGTCCTCCTGCACGCCCAGAACGCTGCCGTAGCCTTCTAGACCTTCCTCTCACTTACCCGATAGTCGTATATCGGTTAGATCCCCTGCCTTGCGTTCCCTGGTGAAAATTACTATTTCCGCCTTTTCAGAGTTAGCTCTTAGTCCCGTGCTACGACACCAGCGGTCCACCCCGTCCAGGGCCCCTGGTGCCTGTCTCCGACTGGGAGTGAACCCCCTACTGTCGATCAGGATGACTATGTCATCTGCGTAGGCCTGGATATAGTATCCCATGCTATGTATCTTCGATAGGAGGTCGTCCACGACGAGGCACCATAGAAGGGGTAATAGCACCCCTCCCTGCGGGCATCCTCTTGATACAACGGCCTCCTCGAGGTTGTTTTCAAGAGTGGCTCTCACTATCCTTCTAGAGAGGAGTGCGTGTATCCACTTCATCAAAATTGGACTAACACCCCTCTCCTCCGCTGCACGACATATAGAGTCAAATGATGTATTGTCAAATGCTCCCTCAATGTCTATGAATATCCCTAGGGCAGAGTCCTTGCGATCTAACACTCCCTCAACTCTATGGACGAGTCGATGAAGAGCCGCGTCAGTACCCCTACCCCTTTGATACGCAAATTGCAGGTCACTGAGAGGTGATTCGCTCAGTGGCCCCTCTCTGATGTGACGATTGT